TGTGTGTGTGTGTGTGGCCTTAAATGCGTGTGTTTCAGATGAAGTGGAAGGTCCGGTCCTGGCTATAAACTCAAGCTGGTCCAGTCCTGACCCCTGTAGCTTTACATGTAAAGGAAGTAACATTTTTATCAGCTCCATCTATAATGGTAGCAGCTGTTCACAAGAGGAAGTGGTATCAGCTGATAATCACACTCTAAGACTGAACTGCAGTGGTGACTCCATCATGTGTAACTACAGAAACCCAGTGAGCTCGATGACTCAAGTAAAGAAGGTTAATGAACTCTGCATTGTTAAGCAAGGTACATTCTGTATCCGCTCTGAGCTGTAAACACACTCACAGATGAAGAAATAGAAAAACAATGACTTAATCTTAAATACTGTATGATGTGCCACTCTTCATTTTAAATGGCAAACACTGGACTGACATTTCTATTAATATAAACCTCAATCTGTGAAAACTGAAGGTATATGTTCTTATTTTTCATGTCTATAAACAGGAACACATGAAAAAGCGTCAGCGTTTCCACCTTGGATCATTGTTTCTATTTGTCTATTCACATTGACATTGGCGGCAGTGATCAGCTTTTGTATTTACAAAGGGAAAAAAGGTACAATGCATCTTATCCTGCAGTTATCTTATGACACATCATAAAGGATTTCAATAACACTTTTAGCACTTTCATATTGTTTGCTACTGAACAGACTAAGAGTAGGTTATTTCTCTATCTAGTCATACCTCAGATGTCTCACAATTTATGGATCAAATATTAGTGTAAGATATTTGTGCTATTCTTATGAACTCATGTCACATCCATTAAAAACATTATGTCAGTGAGAAAGCCCAACAGTCAAACAGTCTTTACACAAAGTTTGACATTCCCTAGTAGTGTAATTCTACTGAGGTTTTTCAGAGCATATGAGTGCAGTTTAAGGCAACTTCACTTCCCTAGTTTGTTATTTTTAGAGATAGCTGAACTAGTTTCATTTTTAAAGTGTTTTAAAAGTAAACAGGGCTGTTTTTTTTCTTTCAGTTTTTCACCATTGTATTTACATTTTTGCTGACACAATTTAATTTTAAATGGTTCTGCAGTGTGGCATTGTGTAATTAATGTTTAGAAATAAAAATATTTCATGTAATCTCCCAATTAACATGATATAATAAAAACTACATGTACAGTAGTTATAGAATTAGCACAATGCTGTTCATGTGGAATACAGCACATGACCTGCCAACTTCCTATTCATTTTCATTTTAACTACCCACAAGTTTGACACTTCTGCTTTTAAACCCTTATGACACACTTGTTTGCTTCCATTAGAAGTGCATTAACCATATTATTATAGCCAAGTATGCTGATACATTTTTAAAAGCTTTGTAGAGAAAAAAGGTATATTTGTTCTGTCTATACACAGAAAATTGTAATGAAAACTGATGTTCTGTTTTAAACATCATAGGTGCCCAGAAGAATGAACAAACAATCTATGCAAAATTTGATGTAAGTGTTATACTACTATTCTTCATTAACCACATATACTAATTAAATGGTATCACACCATCTGTTATCTTTTAAAACAAGTATGCAACATTGTGTTTTTGGTAGTCAAATCCTACACTCCCAGAAAAAAAGATGCAAAGCTGTCACTTGGGCATACCCTCTCAAAAGATACTCATATTTACTATTTAGGTACTAATATATGTACCTTTAAGGTACTTATATGCACCTGTTAGGGGTAAATAAGGTACAAAGGTGTACGTTTTGAAAGGGCACCATCTCAGTGACAGCTCTGTACCTTTTTTCTGAGAGTGTAGACACTTAGTGTCTGCATTCATTTATTAATTCACTGTTATTTCTTGTTGGTTATTTACTGTCACATGGGCACAGGTGATCACTTCTATTTTCTTTATTATTTCTTATGGCAAATTATTTGGTATGAAAAAAAGGGTGAGTAGCAGATGACAGCTTTCTGTTGATCGCACTGCATTGGTTTAAATGATGTATGTGTTCAATGCCTCATGCCTTATCAAATAAATCAAAAACAAGCTAGAAATGATCAGTATTCTATGATAGAAATGATGAGTATTCTATTTGATGGTAATGACAAATCACAAATGAGTCAAGAAGGATTATCCCATACTCTATGCTATTGGATGTCACTAATAGTATCTGTATATAAGCATTCACCACTCATTTCAGCCAAATCAGCAGTCTGACGTTTAGATTGAATTGTGTCCACAGGAGAACATCAAGCCACAAAAGTCGCTGGAGATGTTGGAGAAATCAGAGAATCCTCATACAGTGTATACTACTGCAAGAGATTTAGGACAAACTGATGTTACCAACCACACCACACCCAACGACGACCCTATGAATCAGGTGAAGATTAAACAATGACTCTAATCTCACTTAGTAACAATTCATTGAAAATTAAATGATGGTTACTTTGGTTTAAATATCTTAATTTGGAATAAAGGGGAAGACAAGCTTAAGTGAACGACATTCAAATGATAAAGTTATTATATTTGTGGCTTAATGTTTGGGAAACAACCTGCCAGTTTGAAGCCTGTAGTTGTTTAAATTATTTGTTGGAAAATTGTTTTACATGAACTGCAGCTGATTTTGTTGTGCTTTATTTCAGAGTGCATTACTCAAAGAGAGGAGCAAACCAAATGCACCAGTCACTATCTACTGTACCATTCAGCAGCAACCAAAATCCCCCAAAACTGAAACTAATCACACCATTTATGCTGTAGTCAATAAACCGTCAGCCGGATATGAATCTGCACATCCACAATCAGAGTAAAAGTGAACTTTCAATAAAAACCCTAAACCCTTACAGTGATTAAAAGTGATAAAGGACTTCATGTGTTCAGGAAGGCAGTGTTATTCTCAGTGTAAATAAGCAACATATTTACCATGTGCAGTGTGCTCCTATTGTAGTTGATTTAGGGTGTGTTAAAGATATTTAAATACGTAAATTCTGTCTTTTTTTAAAGCAGCAGTGAATGTATTTTTATTGTAAAATTGTTGTACATGTGGCTCAGACAGGAATGCAAAATCTCATGTGGATTCAGTAGATTTCTATTGGCGATACCTCACCGCCTTTGCAGGCAACGCCTGAAAACCACTTCCTGGAAAGTATTTGTCAGTCTTTAGGTTTATTGAAGGGTCACCAGGGCTGGGGAATAACGAAATACATGTAACGGCGTTACGTATTTAAAAAAAACTGTATTTCATTATAATTAAATAATGTTACAGTTACAGTTACATCCGAAAAGTATTTTAGATTACCAAAGTGATTACTTTGAATTTTAATGTAATTTCTTAATTTAATATTTAAGTAAACAGTTTGGGGATTTTAAACAATAAGGCAACCTTAGACTTTTATTTTATGACTTTTATTTAACCCATGGACAGCTAAAACCCCACGCCTTACATGCTCATCATCATGACACAAAAATGGACGACACAACAGAAAGCCATTCGCGTAATGCATTTCTCGTGGAAATACAAAGACTATTTTACTTATAAATCTGAAAAAGGACGTAACATCTCAGCACAATGCAATGCCTACCTGCAACAAAACTTATATCAGCATCGAAGGATTCAACGTCTAATCTGAAAAAGCATCTTGAGGGAAGTTGTTCTTGATCTTTGAAAAACTTTATCCAGTAACTCGTTTTTCTATTTTCTCATATTTTGAGTGTTGAATGGTTATCATTACATTTAATATTTCTAAGAATTTAATTGAAGACATGACAATGAATTCTCCTAGAATTCACACTTTGCATTCAATTAACAGATCCATACGAATCATGCATGAAATAAAAGTTTATAAAGTCAAACGATAGCTTTGTGTGCTTTACAGATGAAGTCTTTATTCATTCAAAATGTTCAAGAATAGATTATCTTTGGCACGGTAATGCACGTTCATGATCCGATTTGTGAACAGATGATTCTTTTGATTCAATCTTTTAAATTAATAATTTATTTTGTTTAACGAAACCAGTGTGAATGGTTCACATTAAACTAGATAGATCTGGGGTGTGTTTCCCAAAAGTATCGTTAGCGAACTGTGGTTGTTAAATTACATTAAACTATAACGACATTAAGTTACTTGCGACCCTAGTTTTGGGAAACGAGCCCTGTCAATTTTGACTC